TATATATATATATATTTGAATATTTTAAATAACAAGCATATCTAATGTATTTATTTTTAGGTATATACCTGCGGAAAATGTAATCAAATGTTTTGTTTAGACTGTGAGATTTTTATTCATGAGATATTGCACACGTGTCCTGGTTGTGCAATTAATCCTGAAACATATAAAAAAAGAGAGTCTACAGACAGATCTTGAAATGATATACTTGAAAAGTACACTTATTTATATAGGAAGAAAATTTGTATAAATACATACGAATATTGCGATAAAGTAGATGCATTTGCTTGCGCGCGCGCATTTATTCTAGATTTAAAAAATTAAAGACATTTTTATACATAGAAAAAAAAGAAAAATATTCTTTGTATATAGATTACCTACCTACAATGTTAACGATACTACCTGCAGATTATTTGAGAACTGTATGTGTATGTACACACACACACACACACACGCGCGCGCGCGCGCGCGCGCGCGCGCGCGTACGCATTTATACATTGCATAGTAAAAAAAAGTAAAGAGTATTGCCAATATATTTTGACGATTCATTTAAAACGAAATAAGGTATACATTTTGTGTGTGAAGAAAGAGAGAAGGGAGAGAGAGAGAGAGAGAGAGAGAGAGAGAGAGAGAGAGAGAGAGAGGGAGAGAGAGAGATTGTAAATGTCCGAGCGTCTGACATGTGACTGGAAGTTTGCGATAACAAGTATAGCGCAGCGACTCCTAACGCAACGCAAATGTCCTACTTCAATAGTATAGTGGGGGAACATTGAAGCTTATTGTTACATAGACAGGTGGAAAGTGGTTACTGTGAAATTATAGTACGTTATTAATTTGCGGTTGTCCGCCGAAGCAACCAGTTCTTGAGTACGATTGACGCACCAGCAATTTGATTCATATTATTCATCCTATGTCGATTAAATTTAATATTGTGTACATATTAATATTCCTATTCTATACATATCATCAAACCAAGGTAAGCTTGCTTCAATCACATTATGACAAGTATTTGATCATTTTACAATCAATATCAGAGAAATCTGTTTTATTAATTATTTACTATTATTTGTCAATTGTTCGTATAAAGTGCGTTGAAAGATTCTTATAACATTGAGAGTCGGTAAGATATAAATATTATCACTACACAATATTTTATGCCTAAATGTTTCGTAAACGTGTGTGTACACACACACACACACACACACACACACACACACACACACACACACACACACCCCACACAGAGTTAATGAAGGACAATTACATAGCCATTGAAGAATGGATAATACGTCGAGAAAACTATAATATCGAATGTGCCTATTTACATTTACGACATAATGTAGTTTCTTTTCTAGATAAATGTATAAATCAATGTCAAGCAAAGTCAAACGTATATATTGTTTGTCCTCTAAATATTCTAAATATAGATGTTAATATTTATAAAGTCTCGGTTTTTAAAACATACTTTAGAATTATAAAAATAGTTACAGAAAATACGTGTATCATGTAACATTAAATTAAAATAGCTTTAAACTTCGACAGCTTTTTGTTCATTATTGTCTTTCGTGTTATATGAAATTTTGCATTATAATTTTACATTATAATTTTTCTCAGAAATTAATAAAACAACGGATAATTTATGTCTAATTAAAATTACCAATTTAACATGTGAATGGACTTTTATATACTCTTCCCTTTTCTTATCTTACTTGAAAAAATAATTAATTTTTATTTTTTTTAATTAAAAATATATAATTTAATATATCAGTATTTTTAATCGATTGTAGCTTCGATTGTACAGGCGATTGTATAACTGTTGAAGAAGTATGAGATTACCTATGAACTAAATATCCTTTGTTGTGCTATGGCCAGATTCCTATCTGAGTACTACCCAGGTATCATTCCATCCTTGTTGTTTATCGAACGTTAAACAAAGATGACACCTGGAGAACATCTAGATGGGAATCCGTACACGCCCTTGGATAGCTGATGCAGAATCAGAAATTATTATTTTAATTATTATTGTCGATACTCATCGTCGGTAATTATTGACAACTACATTTAATTCGTAGGAAAACTTTATATATAAACTCATCGTAATATGATTTCTAAAGAGAATGTTAAATTTGTTTCATGTTTTATGTTTGAGTAAATCGTGTATGATTTTATGCATGACGGCTGCACGAAAATTATTTTTATTTAAAAAGCGTCATAATATATATGTGTATACACACGCACACACACACACACACGCATGCGCGCGTATACATAAAATAAGAAATTTTAACGGATTCAAAGCTTACTAAATTATATTTTTTTAAATTTAAAATTACACTTTATATCGCGCTGCAGACATTAAAAACAAACAGCACATGTAAAATATCGTTGAGGTTGACAAAAGCTAGATTTTTTTATATTTTCAATAAGCAAGATTTTTTTAATGGCAGGATTATATACTATTCTGATTTTTGTCTTGATGAGTTTTAAATAAAAAGTAAAGATATAGTGTGAATTATATATTAGTGTACACGTTAAAAGTGTACAATAAAAGTGACTTAATTATTTTCTGTATCATTAATTTTAATAGTTTACCTTAATTAATGATTTTCTAAC